AGAAGGCAAAGAAAGCGCGACGAATACGATCCTGAAGCAGAAGCAGATATGCAGTAGGCGAAGAAGAGCAGTAGCAACAACAAGAGCAGTTGCGCTGACAATAAGAATGTTAGTGGTTATAACAATACTGATGATGATTGTGATGGTGCTGAAGGCCAGGATGGTGAGGATGATGGTGATGATGATGATGGGGATGACCATTGTTCTCATGCTCATCTTCAACCCGAAGCCCCTGAAGGCCCAAAATCCCGAAGTCTCACCATCGTTTCTTTGCCCAGGTGCAGACAACCACCTTCGAAGATTTGGGGGATCCCTTCGGGAAGGTGGTGGAGGGGGTGATGTTGCGGGTTTTCGGGCTGTGTCGCCAGAATCCGAGCACGAATCCTTTTCCACCGGGTCCATGTCTTATTCTTACTGCGACAGGAATGTTGCAGCTTGCTTGAGTGCTGCACTGCGTCTAGTTCATGTCCCAATGCCCTTCTATGCTTGTCTTGATTGCCTCAATGGCCAAGTTTCGGACCTGACATTCAGGATGAGTTTCACCAGACAGTCACCCTCACATCCCGCGATCGAACGAACGGGTTTAGGGTTTAGCGTTTAGGGCTCAGCGGTTTGTTGAGACTGTGCTCTGCATCTTCTTCTTTGCTCCGTATCAGCAGGTCCCTAAGCTTTGGAACCCGAAACCCTAAAGCCCTAAAGCCCTAAACCCTAAGCCGTAAGCCCATGCCCATCAGGCCTTCGAGGGCCGCGCTCATGCAAAAGGCAGAGACGGTGGGGTGTTCCGATGCTGTTTTCAGCACTGTAGAAGCCCCGCCACCTCATACTTCTTCGAAGTTCTCATGGTTGAGGGTTTAGGGTTTAGGGTCTAGGGTTTAGGAGGTGTCATGGGGAGCTCTGGTTGTCCTGAAGCTCGCTGTCTAAACCCGGATCTTGCCCAAGGGTGCCATTTATCCCCAAAGTAGCAGCCTGGCCGTAACCCCAGGGGTTCCGCGTCAGGGTCCTTCCTTGTGTTCCTTTAGATTTTGGAAGCGCGAGGCAAGAGCGGCGGCGGCGGAGACTTCTTCGATGCAGGCACAACCTGTAACTTCCGCTTGCGGCCCTGCCTTCGCAGGTGTTATGTGCCGAACCATCCATGCAATGAATGAAATAAAGTAAAAACCATGATGATTTCTTTGACATCATGCATTGCTTTCTCCGCCAAGATGCTCTTCCTGTCTCAGCAACTTCTGCAGGCTTCCAAATGCCAGACATGGGCGGCTTTGGTGACCTCGGGAGCATGCCCCTTTGGTAGATGAGTGGGGTTAGGCCCGCCTCCTTGCAGCCCCAAACCCTTCAACCCGACAACCCTTAAACCCTCAAGCCCTTTAACCCTGAAACCCTTAAGCCCCTAAGCCCCTAAGCCCTAAAGCCCTTAACCCTTAAACTCACAGGTAGGCAACTCAACCCTGACACCCCCAACCCTAAGCGCAAGAGAAAGCCTAAGGGCTCCTGCGAGCTGCTTAGTGCCGGGTTTCGCAGCGGTCCTTGTTTGTTTGGCACCCACCAAACTACGCCTTGCGTGTACGGCATGTCAGGATGCCGGCATGTCTACGGTCGGTTAGGGTCTCTTTGGGCCAGAGGCCCCTCTGGACTCGTTGAGGGCGCTACGTGGGATGCGGGGCTTTGCCTTAGCGCCCCTTCAGGGCTCGGCATCGTAGGTGGTAGGCCTGTCGACAGAATATTCCGCTTTCATTCAAAAGGGATCCTTACCCTAAGCCCTCAACTCTTTACATACCGCTTAGAGTCGCAACCTACCGGACTAGCCCAGGTTTGGCTTCGACTTTGGCGGCATGCAGGGAATGGGTGGAGGAGGCGCGCACCTCTGCCCTGCGTGGAAGGGGACGGCGTGAAGCTTCAACGGGGGCTTTTCTCATCACTGCCTGCGTGAAGAATCCTAGGCCCTACAAGCCTAAGCCCTAAACCGCACTCCGCACTTGACTGTAGAACTGGTGATGGCGAACACGTTGGAAACCCCACGCCCCCCTCCCTCTCCACCCCCTTCTTCTCAGCAAAAATCTCAGGGCGGCCTTTTTAAAGATAGTTTCTTCTCCGGCACTCATGAGGTTTTCGACTCTCAGCATGTCGTGGGTGCTCTAGCCGAGGGACCCCCAGACAACGGATCCTTAACAGTTGCTTCTTTTTTTTTGGGGGGGGGGGTGGGGGGGGGGGGGGGGGTTGTGGGGGTTTAGGGTTCAGGGTCCCTAAATTTAAGAGCCTCCGGCTCAAGCCGCCGACCCCGCTGGAGCATAGTTGAAAGGTTTAAACGCGCTCGTCAGCTCAAAGGATGCCAAAAGTTGATTTGCTTGAGCCTCTGTGAAACGTTGGGGGGCAGCTGCTGCGTGGTTGGCAAGAAACGTTGGGGTTGAAGCCAAGCCCCCATCACTTAGCCCAGCAACCGGGAGGGGGGGTAGGGGGGGTAGGGGGGTAGGGGGGGGGGGGGGGTCGGGAGGTGGGGGGGGGTGGGGCTGGGTGGGTTTTTTCCCAAAGGACCCCTATGTCCTGTGCGAACCGCCTATGGTCCGTGAGTTTATGCGGTGTGGGTGGCCTGGCCGTCCATGGAAAAGCTGCCCGGGTACCCCCCCTACCCCCCCCCCCCCGCGTTTTTTGGGGGGGGGGGGGGGGGGGGGGGGGGGGGGGGGTGGCTGAGCAAAATAGGGTCTATTTAGAAGCTACCGCCTGGGATTATTAATCAATTTTAGCATATCCAAGACAACCCAGCTACTTCTCCAACAACGTCTCACGCATATGCGCACTTAGACAACTCATTTCGGACTGATAAATGTTTTGGCTCTTGCAATCTCAGACCCTAAGCCCGGAACCCTGACCACAAATTCGTACACTGAAAAAACCCTACACAAGAAACTCTATACCGTATTTCCTAAACTCTAACTCCTAAACCCAGAATCTAGAAAGAAAAGGAGGAAAAAGAAAGAATCATGTGCAGACGTTCCTGTGTTCCTATCTTCGGAGTTCTTCTATTCCTATCTCTGCTGATTTTTCAGAATGGAAGGAGGGCTTCATTTTCCCTCTCACTTTTCCTTTCACTTTTCTTTTCTCACTCCAAGCAGAAGGGAGAAGACAAGGGAGAGAGGTGAGAGATAGAGAGCCCCTTACAGCTCAATAAATAGAAAGGTGACCAAAATGGATGAAAAGATCGCCTGCTTTCATTTCTAAACGGCCTGTCCCCGCCTTCTTTTCTTTGCACAGTGCAGACATAAATAAACACGAAAGAAGAAAGAGGGCCTTTCCCTACTATTTCCTTCGCTATCCTGGAATCCTGGTTCGGAAAAGAAAGGAACAGCTACCAGCCCCCCTCCCGACTTTCATCTTTCCATTTCTTTTGTTTCGTCACGCTCAAACGGACAGAAGAAGGGCGGCCTCTAGTGTTTCCTCGCCTCCTTCTGCACTGTTATAACTTCCTTTCTTTTCTCTTCTGTTGCTTTGTGTGACAGGTGCGGGGGCATTTCTTTCACTTTTCCCATCGAAGAAAGGCTCCCTTCCTATCCGCATATTTTCTTTTCTCTTCCTTCCGAAAAAGACTATAAGAGGCAGGGATAAACAGAATGAAAGAGGAGTCTCCTTTTGCTTTCCGACTACCTTCTCACCACAAAAAGGAACCCTTCTCTTTCTTCCCTTGACTTTCTTTTATCTTGTTTGCATTCTACGTTTCCCACTAAGAAAATGAGACAATGATGAAGATAAGTGAAGAAAGATCACCTGCCTGCACGCAGGTTCTCGGGAGCTTGTCTCGACCGGGCTGTCCCTCCTTTCCCCGCACGTCCCTTCGCTTGTCCCCATTGATCTCTCGCGTCTCTTCCCTTTGCACTCTCTCGCCTCTGGCCCGCCTTCCATGCTGAAAATGCTGAAGAGATACGAAAAGAAGAG